TGTTTTGGGGTGTCTGTGAACTTAGTATGACTTTAGGCAGCCCCTCTGCTAATGGGTGGGGTTGTGTTCCTGTCTTGCTAGTTGTTTGGCATGGGGCATCCAGCACTGGAGCTTGCTGGCTGTTGGGTGGAGCTGGGTCTTAGCGTTGAGACGGAGATCCCTAGGAGAGCTCTCGCTGATTGATATTACGTGGGGCCACAAGTTCTCTGGTGGTCCAATGTCCTGAACTCAGCTCTCCCACCTCAGAGGCTCAGGCATGACACCAGGCCAGAGCACCACAACCCTGTCAGCTACACGGCTCAGAAGAAAAAGAGAAAAAAAGAATAATAAAAAATTTTTTTTTAATAATTAAAATAAAAATAAATTTTAATTATTAAAATAAAAAGGTAATAATGAAAAAAAGAAGAGAGCAACCAAACCAATAAACACATCCACTAATTATAATAAGTGCTAAAAACTATACTAAGATAAACATAAAAATCTGAAATCAGTTCCAGACAGCAGACCCCCAAGTCAGTTACTCCCAAAGTCCACTGCCTCAACTTTGAGATGATTCATTTTCTATTCAGGTATTCCACAGATGCAGGGTACATCGAGTTGATTGTGGAGATTTAATCTGCTGCTCCTGAGGCTGCTGGGAGAAATTTCCCTTTCTCTTCTTTGTTCGCACAGCTCCTGGGGTTCAGCTTTGGGTTTGGCCCCGCCTCTGCATGTAGGTCGTCCTCAGGCATCTGTTCCTTTCCAGACAGGACGGGGTTAAAGCAGCAGCTCATTAGGGGACTGTGGCTCACTCAGGCCAGTGGGGGGAGGGAAGGTTACGGAATGTGGGGCAAGCCTGTGGAGGCAGAGGCCAGTATGACGTTGCAACAGCCTGAGGCACGCCGTGTGTTCTCCCAGGGAAGTTGTCCCTGGATCTCGGGACCCTGGCAGTGGTGGGCTGCACAGGTTCCCGGGAGGGGAGGTGTGGATAGTGACCTGTGCTTGCACACAGGCTTCTTGGCGGCAGCAGTAGCAGCCTTAGCATCTCATGCCCGTCTCTGGTGTCCGAGCTGATAGCCATGGCTTGCGCCCATCTCTGGAGCTCGTTTAGGCGGTACTCTGAATCCCCTCTCCTTGCGCACCCCAAAACAGTGGTCTCTTGCCTCTTAGGCAGGTCCAGTCAGCTCCCAGCCCCCACCCACCCCAGTGGGTGAGCAGACAAGCGTCTCAGGCTGGTGAGGCTGGTCGGCACCGATCCTCTGTGCAGGAATCTCTCCGCTTTGCCCTCTGCACCCCTGTTGCTGCGCTCTCCTCCGTGGCTCTGAAGCTTCCCCCACCCATCTCCACCAGTGAAGGGGGCTTCCTAGGGTGTGGAAACTTTTCCTCCTTCACAGCTCCCTCCCAGAGGTGCAGGTCCCATCCCTATTCTTTTGTCTCTGTTTTTTCCTTTTTCTTTTGCCCTACCCAGCTACATGGGGATTTTCTTGCCTTTTGGGAAGTCTGAGGTCTTCTGCCAGTGTTCAGTAGGTGTTCTGTAGGAGTTGTTCCACATGTAGATGTATTTTTGATATATTTGTGGGGAGGAAGGTGATTTTCACATCTTACTCCTGTGCCATCTTGAAGGTTCCCTCAAGAAATGTTTATTAGTGACATCTGAGAGGAAAGTAAAGTTTCGGATGTGATGTACCCAATGTTTAATAGGCATTTTTAAAATTGAGGACTGCTTTTATTGAATAAAACACTGCTATGCATAACTTACATAGCTATCCTTATAACTTATATTCACTGTTCCTAGTTATATTCCAAATAATGTCCTCCCTCTTCTAGGTGACTATACTTTATATAAACTTGAAGATTGCTGTCTTTTTCATGTGTAATAGTTCTAGTTCCTCTAGCCATTCTTCAAGTGATACAATCTCCAGGTCTCTCACCATACTTTGCCCTTCTGTCCAGTCTTAGAATACTGTACCTAGAATTGAACTCAGTATTACACATGTGTTCTAAATAGCGCAGAGTATAATGGCAATAGTACTTAAAGAGATCAAGACACCCTGTTTCTTAATGTAATTTAAGATTACATAAGCATTTTAAGCAATTACATCATAACACTTCATAACGAACTTATGGTCCGCTAGCACACTAGATCTTTTTGTATTGTTGCTAAACTCAGTTTTCTTCTTGAAGCTGCTAAAGGACTGAGGCTGCTACCTTTTCATCTCTTTGTCTCAGGGACCATATGATTTCTCATCTCTGTTTCTCTTTGTGTTTTTTTCCCACTCCACTGCATGTCTCTTTGACCCTTACCAATGACCTACTTCCTTATAAAATTTCAGTGACTGTTTTATAGTCTTAATACTGTGTATCAGTGAACAGAGCTGGGAGGTGACACTTGTTCCTTCTTCAAGGTTTCTTTTCCTTTGGCTTCAAGGCCACCATACTCTTCTGGCTTTCCTTTCACTTTCCTGGTTGGTCCTCCTCCATCTTCTTTGTGGGTCTCTATTCATCTACCTTTCCCTCAACTATTTGGTATGCCTTGTCTTTGGTTTTTCCCTCAACTTTGGTTGTGCCTTTGGTTTTTTCTGTATGCAGTGTATCTTCAGCAAATAAAGCATGTTTAAAATGGCAGGTCTAGATGAGCTCATCTAGGATAAGAGAGTGCAGAACCAGTACCCATGGAAAGTCAACATTTAGAGGTCAGCTAGAGGAGAAGGATTCAGCAAGAAGACAGAAGGAACAGCCAGACATTTAGGAGTGTTCCCAGAAGGAGGGTTATTCAGATGTGTTGACTATTTCTGACAGGTCAAGTAAGGTTAGAATAGAGAAATGACCACAGAAGTTTGCAATGTAGAGGCTGTTGGTGATCTTGACAAGCATGGTTTTGTGGAGTGTTGAGGGGAAAAGCCAGATTATAGAAGAGAAGAATTTAAAGAAGATAGAGAAGCAGAGATAATGTGTAGATGATAATTTTAAGAAATGGAACAGTACCTGGAGCATGTTACATGGTCAGTTGAGGCTTTTAGGTTCAAGGGATATAGTGTATGAGAAAGTCATTTGGAAATTATAACATGCTACTACATATGTGTGTGGAGAAATCCAGAAAGAAGATGGCTGAGGACACAACCCTGCGAAACAACTTCATTTAGAGAGTGCAATGAAGAGACTCCAAGAGGAGTTCAGCTCAAGAGACACATGAGCATTTCTGTTCTGTATGCTGTCCTTCATACCAAAGGCATTCCAAGAGGGAATCAGTGGATTCCCTGACCTCAAGCATTTTATAGTTGCTGTGTTTCACAAAACGTCATGTGAATCACCTGCATCCAGACAGGCTTGGCTCTTAAGTATATATTCCAGGGCCCCACCTCAGGCCTACTGAATCAGAATTTCAGGGAATTATACCAAGGATTTGAATTTTTAATAAGTGACTCTCACTTTGCCACCCAAGATGACTCTGGCTTATTGGATGAAACTGAACATGTTAACAAATAACATTAGGTTGAAGAGTTAGTTGAAGAATAGGAAGATATTTGTTCATCTCTTTTATAAGTTCATGCCATTAAATAAGAGAAACCAGGCTATTCTGTGGGGAAAAAATTAGTACAAATTCATAAACACGAGGAAAATACAGGCATACCTCTTCTTATTGCACTTTGCTTTATTGTGCTTCACGGATATTGCTGGGGTTTTTTGTTGTTGTTTTTGTTTTTTTAACAAATCAAAGGTTTGTAGCAACCCTGCATTGAACAAGTCTGTCAGTGCCATTTTTCCAACAGTATTTTGCGTACTTCATGTCTCTGTGTCACATTTTAATAATTCTTGCAAGATTTCAAACTTTTTCAGTATGTTTGTTATGGTGATCTGTGATCAGTGATCTCTGGTGTTACTGCTGTGACTCCCTGAAGGCTCAGATGATGGTTAGCATTTTTTAGCAATTAAGTTTTTTAAAATTAAGACATGTACATTGTGTTTTTTTAGGTATAATGCTATTGCACACTTAATAGACTACAGCATAGTGTAAACATAACTTTTATATGCACTGGGAAACCAAAAAATTCACGTTACTTGTTTTATTGTGATATTTGCTTTATTGCGGTGGTCTGGAACTGAACTTGCAATACCTCCAAGGTATTACTGTAATCTTAAACTCATTCTGTATTGTTTTAGAAATATTTTGTTTATAAAGGATCTTACCATAATTTATAGAACCATTCCTCTCTTGCAGAAGATTCGGGTTATTTTCAGTTTATTTCTGTGATGGATAATGCCTTCATAGGACAGGCAGAATATAGTATAGGGATAAAATTGTGAGTTCTAGAACCATACTGCCTGGGTTTAAATCCCATCTTTTACCACTTACTAGCTCTGTAATTCTGGACAAATTATTTAAGTCATTTATATTTCATTTTCCTCGTTTTAATGTAAGTATCATGATAGTGTATTAATTTCATTGATGTAAGGATTAAATTAAGTGTTTAAAATGGTGCCTGGTGCATAGTAAGTGCTTAATAAATATGGGCTATTATTATTGTTAATAGGTATATTAGTGAATATAGAATCTAACTGCTGTTGAACTATTTCCCTAGGATAAATTTTCAGGATGGGATTACTTTATTAAAGGATGAAGACATTTTTATGTCCCTTTGCCATCTATGGTCATTGCTTTTCAGAGGATGATAACAGTTTGTGCTGTGTAATTTGTAAATGCAACCCATGTATCAGTGTAATGTATGTGTATGTATGCGTGTATCACATATACATTACATTGTATATACACACACACATAAAAATATGTGTATGCATTTGGTTTTTCTCTAAATATGAATGCATATCAGTGTGGTTTAGATTATAAGTTTGTAGAAGACTGTGATTTTGTTAAGTCTGTTGTTAAGTCTGTTCTGTTTAATGTTACAGTGCCTTGGTCAATACTGTCTCCAGATGGATGTTGATAATGATAGTAAGTTACTTTTGAAAGATTATGTCAAAGAAATATTCTAAGTCTTATGTGTCTTTTTTCCTTTTGATAGATTGAAACCATGGCCATTCTTTTCGCTGTTGTTGCCAGGGGAACCACTATCCTTGCCAAACATGCTTGGTGTGGAGGCAACTTCCTGGAGGTGACAGAGCAGATTCTGGCTAAGATACCTTCTGAAAATAACAAGCTAACGTACTCACACGGCAAGTGAGTTCTGCTCTGTGTGGGCAGCGGGTGAAAGAAGTGAATTATATTATTATAATCAGAAAAGTAGAAAACTAGAAAAGCAAGCTTCTCAGTAGATAATATGAATAAGCTGACAGAACAATAATCTTTACCAGCTTAGAAAATGTCTGGTTCTATTAATTTTAAATTTAACTAAAAATTATTTTATTCTGTCATCAAAGTGATATTAATATTTTAAAGAAAGATATGGAAATGTTAGATGTAAAAGTGACTTTGCTATAGAGCTCTAGTACATGTGAAACTTGATGTAGTTAAGAAGAAGAATATTTTTTTCTTTCATTCTTTCTGTAAATATTTACTGAGCACTTGACTATCGCCAGACGCTTTGCTTGGTGCTGGGGATACAAGAAATCACTCAGTATTTGCCCTCATGGAGGTTATAGTTTAATGAAGGAGACAGTCAAATCCATAGGTAATCACAGTAGAGGGTAGAAGCTAGTGGACAGGGGGATGGTATTCCAGGTAGAAGGAACAGCTGGTAGAGAAGTATGGAGGCATATTTAGTGAACTGCAGGTGTTTGTCTGTGACTGGTGCCCAACATGGTGAAAATAAAGCTAGAGAGACCGACAGAAGAGAAGTCCTGTAGGGCCTCATAGGCCATGTTACGGGGTTGTACTTTACCGTATGGGCAATGGGAAGGCATTGAAAGTTTTCAGCTGGGGTGTGACTTGGTAAGCTTTTGCTTTAGAAAGATCACTGTCGTGGCTGGTTGGAGAATGAATTGGAGGGGGCATAGGTGGGAAATCTTAGTAATCATAAAAAGTGCCTCAACCTTCCTCCTCAGTACTTAACAATCTTTTGTTACCTAACTCATCCTAATTTCCTTAGACCCTATCTCAGAAGGAGGTCCTTATTGGTTTCCAGGGCCAACTCCTTGTATAATTTAGGATCTAGTCCAAGCTGCTGTAAGAGAGAGAACCCAAAATACAGTATTAATTTATGAGATAGCCCAGAGATGAGTACTTCGGGACTGGTGGGGTGGCTCTGCCATTTTTAATTAGTGCCTTCCAACTCTGGCCAAGGCAGCTTCTTCAGTTCTTGTTACTTCCCTGTGCTTGCCCAGTATTTTAAAAGGCAAAGCCCAGAAGTGGCCTGACAGTTTATTGTTGACTGCATAGTTATGTAGCTAACCTAGCTGGAGTGGAGACTAGAATTTGTCATCTCTAGCTGTGCAGCCATATGCTCAGCTAAAACTCTGTTACTCTGGAGGAAGTTATAGGACATCAGGAGACAACTTGCAATCTTCCAGTCTACTCTTCTGGGCCACCAAAATATTAGGATGTACTCTTCTTCCCAAACATGGAGCATACCTCCTCTCTGCAGGAGGTGGCCCCAAAGACTCATCTGATCGCTGTGTCCAGCTCCAGGTCCAGACAGTCCGAGTGATACGCAGTCCTCTCCATCACGCCCAGGAGTGGCTCCTGTGGCCCATTAACAACAAACTAAAAGACAAGTCATATGATCTCCCTGTTTCATCAGACCAACCCAATAGACATTGGTGGAATAAGAACAGCATCACCAAGTGGAAGTTGTAAACCTCGATTTAGAAAAGGGAAGAACAAGAAACACATAGATGTCACTGCTTCTTAGCAATATTCAAATAACTACTCCACAGCAATTTCAGAGACTCTTATTCTGACCTGGGAGTGTTAGTGGTTCTGCTTTCTTGGAAGAAATTCTTCATCTTTTCTCCCTTTCTTCTCCAGGAGGCTCTTCCTGGTCCATTATCCTCTCTGGCCACATCCAGAATGGGTGTTAGTGTGTCATCTTTGGGAACTGTATAGGTTTTGTAGTCTGTTACTTCCTGGTGTAGTTTAGGGACTAAGAAGTTACCTCTGGGTTAAATGACCTCAGTTTCTTGTGAGTATGGCTTTAGGGTTTCTTCAAAAATTTATTGGGCTCAACGATCGTGTTTCTAGTCAGTTCCCAGGAAAGTGCTCAGGGAAAGCACATGTCATCTTTGTAGAGGCAAGGCTGGGAAGTAGGGCATGTTTCTTCCACTCATATTTTATCAGGCAGAACGTAGTCACTAGCCATATCTATAGCTACAAGAGAAGCTAGACTATGTAATCCAATGAAAATGTGGTTATAGCGCAAGAAAGTGATGTTATCCATCTGCTGTGTCTTTCCACCAGCATCCTGACCCAGTCCTACCCGGTATCCTTTGGAGTAAGTCTCTATCACTGAGTTGTCTTTTCTTTTTAACCTTCTGCCTTAGTTTCTTTCCTATAATCATGTTCCATCATCCCAATCAGCTTGGGAATAAAATATCTTTTATTACTGTACACCAACAGAAAAAAGTACATTTTACTGTATGAAAATCATTTCTCCCTGAAATCTGACCTTCCTTTTGCTATTTCTTTCTTTCTTTAATAGCATCACCAGTCATTCAGTTGGCTAAGCCTAAAACTTCAGAATCATATTTGACTCCTTAACCAAATCCTTGCCATTCTCCTCCAGGAGGTATTTCAATCTCCTCTATCCTCGCTTGTCATAGTGTCTGTTCAGGCATTCATTGTTTCGCATTTCTAATAACCTCCTCCTAGCTGGTTTTTCTGCTTCTAGTTGATCCCTCCTTAAATCTGTATTTCACATTCCTATGATTATACTTTCTTGCTTAAAACCCATTGCTTTTAGAATAAAGCCCAAACTCAGCCTTCACAATTTTGTCTATTCCTGACTTTTCTTTCCTTATCTCTATAGAAATCTTTGTCATTACCTGACCTATCTATGTTATTTCAAGCTTTGGTATACTTTTTTCATGATTTTGTGTCTTGGAATGTCCTTCCATTCCTAGGCCCCCGGTAAATTTTTGCTCATTTTACAGGTTCCAAATGAAATACTTTCTTAATTGTCACTTTAATCCTTCTGATTAAAGGGCAGTTCTGATCATGTCCCTTCCTTCAGCAGGTACTCAGGGTAAAGTTCCTTAACACTACTTGAAAGATTCTTCAAGATCTGCCCCTGCTCCCTTCTCTGGCCTTATCTCTCTTTACTTGAGCCCTCAGTTTTGTTCTCCAGCCATACTCAGCTATGTGCATTTCAGTGTTGGGTTCTTTCTCTCTTCCTAGCCTTTGCAATAGCTATTACTTTTTAAAAATCTGAGTTTGTCTTCCTGAGCTTATACGTTTCCTCTTCTGGAAACCCCTGAATTCCAAGACTGGGCCAGGTGCCCCCTTTTTGTGTATCTCCATAGCATCCTGTGCTTATTCATATTGTAACACTTATGAAGCAGTGTTATAATTGCTATCTTTATTTTTTGTCTCTGTCCTCTGACTATAGGCTCCTTGATGGCAAGGACCATATCTCATTACCTCCTGTGGTCTTTGCACCAACGTACTCCCAAGTGTGGTTTAGGAGAAGCAAATTTTGTGGGGAAAATGATGACTTTCATTTTCGCACCTGTAGTGTTTAAGTTGTCTATGGTACTCCTGTTGGATATGTCTAATAGACAGTTCCGTATGCAGGCCTGGAGCTCAGGAGATAGGTCAGATTTAGATTTGGGAATCATTATGATTGTAGTAGCTGAAAACAGATATCGACAGCAAAACAAGAGAGTGGATGCCACCCTCCAGGAAAATGTGTGTGAGAAAAGCAGGGGGCTCCGGATGCTGCAAGACATCAACAGAGAGCGAAAGAGACTACCATATAAACCAGGCAAGCCTGGTGTTAAGAAATCTAGTGGAGAGAAAACACTTTCTAGAGGAAGGAAGTGATCAGCACTATCAAATGTGTCAGAGAGAGCCACTGAATATGCAGTGTGGAAATCATTGGTGGAGTTGATGTCAACAATTTCAGTGGTGGAGGAAGACATTTTGCCTGAGTTCCCATACCTCCTTGTAATTCATATCAAGCCTCTATGTGAACATTAATAATACAATTCAACAAGTATTCTTGTCTATCTACTTGCCCAGGGTAGAAATCTGGGAAGCAAAATAGACTTATCCCTCTGCCTCACCCCCAGTAGCCAGTCATCAAGTTCTATTATTTCTTCTCAGTCCCTTCTTCTTCACTGCCCATAGTACTTTAGTTTGTTTCTCTCACTGTTCTACTTCAATAGTCTGTCTGGTCCTCCTTTCGGTCAGTTCTCCACACTTTAGCCTAAGCATCCTTTTATATGGCAAATCTGATCACACTCCCAGGCTAAAACCCTTTGATGCTTGTTCATTGTTCTTAGGATAATGCATAGTGAGGTTTGAAAGTCTTATACAGCATGATATTTGCTTACTTACAACCTCATTTGTGTAAGCAGTTTATTTTTTCCTTACATTCTATACTCTAGTCCAGGGGTCCTCAAGCCCCAGGCTGTGGACCGGTGGTGGTCCAAGGCCTGTTAGGAACCGGGCCATGCAGCAGGAGGTGAGTGGCGTGTGACCAAGCAAAACATCATCTGTTGCTCCCCATCACTCCCATCACTCGCATTACTGCTTGAACTATTGCTCGCTCACATTCATTACCACCTAAACCATCCTCCCAATCGCTCGCATGACCGCCTGAACCATCACCCCTTCCCCGCCCGTGGAAAAATTGTCTTCCACGAAACTGGTCCCTGGTGCCGAAAAGGTTGGGGACAACTGCTCTAGTCATATTAACTAATTTTACTTTTAAACCCAGTATTTGCTCTTTTATTTCAAAGCCCTTAAGCTTGTTGGTCTCTCACTCTGGAACACTCTTGCTTGTTCTTTTTGCCATCTCTTACTTAGTCTTCAGGTCTCAGCTCAGGCATCACTTGCTCCAGGATGTTTAACTGTTACCCTTTGACAAACTCTGTTAGGTGTCACCTCTATGTCCTCACAGCACCATGTACTACCCTTAACTCCTTATCATCCTGCTTACTATGTTGTTCCACAATTGCCTGCACTTTCATCTCTGTAAAGGCAGGGACTGATGGTTTTGCTTATTTGTATCCTCAGCACCTAGCCCAGTAACTAGTTCAAAGTAGATGCCAAATAAATGTTACTGTTGAGTATTCAGTAGAAAAAGTGTTTGCTATGAAATCTTAGGAGAAGGCAAAGAAGACTGTATGGCCCATTTGGGGGTTATTCTTAATTACGTGTCCCTCAGATGTCATCTCTTGTTCAAACCTTAAGTATCTGGGAATTCCCTGGCGGTCCAGTGGTTAGCACTTGGCGCTTTCACTGCCAGGGCCCAGGTTCAATCCCTGTTAGGGAACTAAGATCCTGCAAGGCACGTGGCACAGCCAAAAAAAAAAAAGTCCAATTATGCTTTTGCAGTTATTATTTTAATGGGTAATGTGCATAACATTGCACTATGTAGCTTGTTTTAATTTCTTATTTATTTCTATCAGTTTGACTTCAGAGGAACATGTATATAGGGGAGAGGGAGAATAGACAGTATCTATAAATAATATGGTCACGTTGGCAGTACTAAAATTTCTTATACATAGATAGAAGTGAAAGAGATATTACTCATAACCACAGTAAGTTTTATATCTTTTATTCTACAGTTATTTGTTTCATTACATCTGCCAAGACAGGATTGTATATCTTTGTATCACTGATGATGTAAGTAACTTGAAGACATGTTGCTATTTAAGTATGTGTAATGTTAATAGAGCCGGTTCTTAATTATCTGTATCTGTGGTGGGTAAAGGTGATGTGAATATAATGTCTGTAGCTGGAAATTTTTTTCTATACTTTGTATTTATCATATAGAGCAGCAAAACAAAATAAAAGTTGATATCTGGGTATATGCAAATCAACTTGGTTTTGTAGAGTTTTAGCTTAACCTCTTGTAATTTCTACGTTTATTTTATTGTGTAGTGAGAATTGGTGTTCATAATTATGATTCTTTGGTATCAGACCCCCTCAAAATTTATTTATCTGAAATAGTAAATAGATTATTTCACTCCTCCAGTCAATAGTGAATTTCTTTTAATGTATGGGGACTTTGGGAAAACAAAATCACAATACATTATGATCAGCTTTGTAAACCTGTAGTTCACATTGGTAGGTTGTTTTTGAGTATTTGTAGCTTCTAGATGGAAAATGCTCAATAACTTAACGGTGGTCATCAAGGTCCTTTCTCCTCTCTGCAATCCTAGTGTTAGCTTCTTCCTGGACACATTCCCCTTATGGTTGCATGGAGCCACATGCTTATTTATTTGTGTCCAAAAAAGACGGACTATGTCTTCTCAAGTCTCTTACTGTATGAATGAGGAAACTTCCCAGATGCACACCCTCCCCTCCCCGCACTTTCAAAGTAGACTTCTTTTCATGACTTATTGGCTAGGACTAGGTTACGTATTTATTTCTAAATTGATCACTGACAAGAGGCATGGAATTGGCATGATTGCCATAGGTCAGGGTTCTTACGTTTATTGTGTCACAGACCCCTTTGGCACTCATGGGCCCCTCCCAGAATTTTTTTAAATGTGTGATTATAAACAAAACCAATTATATTGAAATACAGTATTCAAAATATTTTAAATATTGATATAGTAATATATATGCTTCTTTATGAATTCATTAAATAACAAGTTCTACTCATGGGTCTAATAAATAAAAATTATTTTGATGTGGTGATGAGTATAAATAATATTTTGAGAGATGTTTATAACTGATGGTATATGAAAAAAAGACTTCTCTTGGTGACAAAGTCACAGGTACTGTTAAATACTTCTCCGGTTTGTTACCACATTCACAATTGAAATTTGAGTTAAAGATTGGTGAAAATAATGATGAGATTTTTTTTCTATCCAAGTACATCAGCTCCTTGAATTTGGACCATTGACCACACTTTAAGAACTCTTGGCTTAGACTAATCATCTTAGGTGAAATGGAGATGAGTGTCAACCACAGTGATCATCACAATGATTTATATTCCCTGATTTCACAGTATTTTCTAAAATTATTTTTAAAATACAGCTATATCTGAAATGACTGATGTGAAAGTGCTTGGAGTAGGTGAGAAATATCACTAAATTTGGGATGGTCAGAGTTGAGTCTTATATTTCTTGAGCTATAATTATATTTTTGTATATATGTTACACACACACACACACACACACACACACTTTTTGACTGGGACTAGATAAGAGTACATCCCTTGATCTTTTCAAATGTACCACCAGTATTGAAAAAAATCAATTCAAACTTTATGTCAATAGTGTTATCTTTGTATGTGAAAGACTGTACTATTATGGATTTCTTAAGCATCTTCTTGTGCTGCGCTTTCTGATAGATCCTGTGAAAGATATAGATGGAGTAAAACCCAATTCCTGCTCTCAAGAAGCTAACCTAGGTACTGTTATCTTAGTTGGCAGTAATCAAACATATTTGGATTAGACTCTCAGCTCTTTCATTTACTAGTTGTTTCACCTTTGGCAAGTTAGTTACCTTTTCAGAGCTTTTGTTTCTTTATTAGTAAAATGAGGTCAGTTCCTCCTCATAGAATCATTGTTAGTAAATGTTAGCTGTTCTTCTGGTTGTTGTTAATCATCCATATCGTCTTTGTTTACTGTAATGTAAACTCTGTGTTGATCTCCTTTCAGGATTTTGAGCGTTCCAGAGCCTTTAATTTTCTGAATGAGATAAAAAAGAGGTTCCAGACTACATATGGTTCAAGAGCACAAACAGCGCTCCCATATGCCATGAATAGTGAGTTCTCAAGTGTCTTGGCTGCACAGCTGGTAAGATCTTTCTCAGGATATAGTATTTGATTCATATCTTCTTTTTTACCTTAAAGCACCGTGAATATAGGGGACTCTGACCTGCAGTGTATTTTTCTGATTGTGTTATTATATGCCAAGATAGTAAAACTTCCCTGATTAAAAAAATATATACAGGGGCCATTTTAGGATGGAAAGTGAATAATTGGTGATATTCTCTATAAATGGTGCTCAGAGTATCTCAGGGTTGGGAAAGAGATCAAAGATCATCTACTTCAACTACCCATTTAATGTGTAAATCCACTCAACATGCCAAATGGCCTCTTAACCTATACATTAACCTCTACCCTCCCACGAGGCAAATTTAATTTTTGAACAGCTCAGTCAGTCATTTGAAAGTCTGTTCATCTGTATGAATACTTAATTATCCGCTCAGTAAAGTTGTACATATGTATACACCCGTGAAATACCACCCTTTTCAAGATACAGAACATCTCCATGACCCTAAAGGATTCCTCATATCCCTTTGCAGTCAGTTCCCTCCCCATCACTCTGCCTGAGGCCACCACTGCTCTATTTTCTGTCACCATAAATTAGTTTTATTTTTTCTAGAATTTCCTATAAATGGAATCATACATTATATACTCTTTTGTGTCTTCCTTGTTTTGTCAGTGTAAGCTTTTTGATATTCATCCATGTTGTATAAATCAGTAGTTTCCTTTTTTGCTGAGTAGTATTGTATGCATACACCACAATTTGTTTCTCCATTCACCTGTTGCTGGATATTTGAGTTACTTCCAGTTTTCAGCTATCACAAACAAAGCTGTTATGAACATCCATGTACAAATCTTTGTGCAGACGTGTTTTTATTTCTCCTTGGTAAATACCTAGGAATGGAATTGCTGGGTCATATGGTGAATGATGTTTAATTTTATAATGAATTGTCAAACGTTTTTCCAAAGTGGTTGTACCATTTATATTCCCACTAGCACTTGCAGTGTTTCTGCATACTTGCCAACACTTGTTATGGTCTGTATTTTTAATGTAATTCGTCCTTGTGGGTGTGTAATGATATCTCATTGTGGTCTTAATTTGCATTTCCCTGATGACTAAGGATGTGGAGACCTTAAAAAAATGCTTAGTTACCTTTTATCCATGAAACTATTTGAGTGCAAAGACATAAGTTTTATCTGTGATGGTGTCGTGAATGAGAAAAAGAGACTTACTGTAATTGAATACGTTCCTTTTCACTTCTCCTTTTTAATACCCTTTTTGAGGATTACACTTCTAAATATGCATCCTGTAGGGATGAAGTTCCTTTAAATAGTTATAAATCTTTATTATTCAATCAGTTGGTTTGTTTCATACTTCCACTAGGAAACATTCATATATGTGAAGCTATGTAAAACATCACCAGCAAAATATATACCAGTGCCCATTTGAAAGTAAATAGGGTCAGGTTGGTGGCCAAGATGGTGGAATAGGAAGACCCTGAGCTCACCTCCTTCCATGGGCACTCCAAAATTACAACTATTACAACTATTTACAGAGCAACTATTGATGAGAAAGAACAGAAGACTAGTAGAAAAGATCTTATACAACTGAAGATATAAAGAAGGAACCACAGTAAGACAGAGGGGCAGAGACACAGTATAATCAAGATCCATACCTCTGGGTGGGTGACCCACAAATGGATAATTACAATTGCAGAGGTTCTCCCCAAGGAGCGAGGTGTCCAAGCCCCACATGAGGCTCCCCAGCCCTGGGGTCCTCCATTGGGAAGATGAGCTCCCAGAACATTTGGCTTCAAAGGCCAGCGGGACTTAATTTCAGGAGTGCCAGAGGGCTGTGGGAAATAGACTCCACTCTTAAAGGGCATGTATAAAATCTCACATGCTCTGGAAACCAGAGCAGAAGCAGTAATTTGAAAGGAGCCTGGATCAGACCCACCTGCTGATCTTGGAGAGTCTCCTGGAGAGGCAGGAGGCACCTGGAGCTCACTCTGGGGACATAGACACTGGTGGCAACCTTTTTTGGGAGCTTGTTCTACCATCCTTTACTAATGGAGCTCGCAAGCACCATTTTAGAATCTTCCCTCTAGCGTATTAATGCCAGGACCTGGCCCTGCCCATCAGCGTATCTGCATCAGTACTGGGACACCTCAAGCCAAGCAACTAGCCAGGCAGGGACACACCTTCACCCACCAGCAGGCTGGTTGCCTTAAGAACCCTTGAGCCTACAGCTACTCCAGGTCCTGGCTCTGCCCAACAAAGGGCCCAGGACCTGACCCTGAATAGCAGTGTGCCTGCACTAGCCCTAGGACCCGCTGGGCACTGGCCCTGCCTACCAGCAGACCAACACCAACTTCGGGACACCCCACACTCCACAGCCAGCCATCTCAGAAACTAGCTCTGCCCATCAGCAGGCCAACACCAGCTCTGGGATCCCCAGGGCCCTGCAACCAGAGACCCCAGGATCCCCTGGACCTCTACAGCCAGCTGCCTTGTGACCTGGCCCTGCCCACCAGAGGCTGACAGCCTCCACACAAGGCAGGATCTGGTAACCAGCCAGACTGGGGACCAGCCATGCCTACCAGATTATCCACAGTAGTCAGCCAGCCACAACAGAAGGACCCACACAGCCCATGTAGGAGGTATCCTTATAGCATACAGCTCTGGTGACCAGAGGGAAGTGCACTGCTGGGACTCGAAGGACGTCTCCTAGAAAAGGCCAACTTCTTCAAGGTCGGAAAATGTAATCAACTTACAAAATACATAGAAATAAAAAAAGGAAATTAGGAAAAATGAAGGCACAGAGGAACGTGTTCCAAACGAAGAAACAAGATAAAATCCCAGAAGAAGAGCTAAGTGAAGTGGAGATAAGCAATCTACCGAATAAAGAGTTCAAGGTAGTGATTGTAAAGATGATCAAAGAACCCAGGAGATGATTGGATTAACAGAGTGAGAAGTTAGAATTTTTTAACAAAGAGAAAGTATAAACAATGACCAAACAAAGATGAATACAATAACTGAAGTAAATACACTAGAAGGAATCAACAGTGGATTAGATGATACAGAGGAACGGATCAGTGAGCAGGAAGACAGAGTAGTTGAAATCACTGAGGTGGAACAGAAAAAAGAATAAAAAGAAATGAGGACTGTTTAAGAAACCTCTAAAACAACATCAAATGTACTAACATTTGCATAATAGGGGTCCCAGAAGGAGAAGAGAGAGAAAAAGGGGCAGAGAACATATTTGAAAACATAATAGCTGAAAACTTCCTTAACCTGGGGAAAGAAACAGATATCTAGGTCCAGGAAGCACAGAGAGTCCCAAACAGGATCAATCCAAAGAGGACCACACCAAGACATTGTAATTAAAATGGCAAAAATTAAAGAAAGAATATTAAAAGCAGCTAGGGAAAAGCAAAGTGTCACATACAAGGGAATTCCCATAAGGCTATCAACTGACTTTGCTGCAGAAACCCTGCAGGCCAGAATGAAGTGGCACAATATATTTAAAGTGATAAAAGGGAAAAACCTACAACCAAGAATGCTCAGCAAGGCTTTCATTCAGTTTTGGTGGAGAAATCAAAAGTTTTACAGATAAGCAAAAGCTAAGAGTTCAGCACCATCAAACCAGCTTTACAGGAAATGTTAAAGGGGCTTCTCCAAGCAAAAAAGAAAAGGCCGCAAGAAGAAATATGAAAATTATGAAAGGAAAAATCTCATTGGTAAAGGCAAATATACAGTAAAGGTAGTAAACCAACCACATATAAAGCTAGGAGGAAGATTACAAGAAAAAGGAGTAAAATCACCTATAACCACAATAAAGGATACACAAAACAAAAAAGATGTAAAATATGTCAATGTGGTGGGAGGGGGCATAAAAATGCAGGGTTGTTAAAATGCATTTGAACTTAAGATATGAGCAACTTATAATAATCACCTATGTATGTATAGATTGTTACATATAAACGTTATGGTAACCACAAACCAAAAATCTATACTAGATACACACACAAAAAAGGGAAAGGAATCTGAACATAACACTAAGATACTCATCAAATCACAAGGGAAGAGAGCAAAAGAAGAACAAAAAAGAAGTATAAAAACAACTGAAAAGCAGTTAACAAAATGACAATAAGTACATACCTGTCAATAATTAAATGTAAATGGATTAAATGCTCCAATCAAAAGACATAGAGTGGCTGAATGGATACAAAAACAAGACCCATATATATACTGCCTACAGGAGACTCAGTTCATATCTGAAGACGAAAACAGAAAGTGAAGGGATAGAAAAAGGTATACCATGCAAATGGAAATGAAAGGGAAGCTGGGATAGCAATATTTATATCAGAGAAAATAGACTTTAAAACAAAGTCTGTAACAAGAGACAGAGAAGGACTACTTAATGATAAAGGAATCAATCCAAGAAGATATAACAATTGTAAATATATATGCACCCAACATAGGAGCACCTAAATACACAAAGCAAATATTAATAGACATAAAGTGAGAAATTGACAGCAACACAATAATAGTAGGAGACTTTAAAAAAAATTAATTTATTTTTTTACTTTTGGCTGCATTGGGTCTTCGTTGGGTTGCGCGGGCTTCTCATTGCAGTGGCTTCTCTTGTTGTGGAGTACGGGCTCTAGGCTTGAGGGCTTTAGTAGTTATGGCTCTCGGGCTCTAGAGCACAGGCTCAGTTGTAGCACACGGGCTTAGTTGCTCCCCAGCACGTGGGATCTTCCCGGACCAGGGCTCGAACTCATGTCCCCCGCATTGGCAGGCGGATTCTTAACCACTGTGCCACCTGGGAAGCCCAGTAGGAGACTTTAACACCACACTTACCTCAATGGACAGGTCATCCAGATAGAAAATCAATGAGGAAACACTGGCCTTAAACAACACATTAGACCTAAATGGGCTTAATTGACATATATACAACATTCCATCCAAAATCAGCAGAATACACATTCTTTTCAAGTGCACATGGCACAGCCTCCAAGACAGATCACATGCTAGGCCACAAAACAAGCCTCAGCAAATTTAAGAAAATTGAAATCATATCAAGCATTTTTTCTGACCACAATGCTATGAGGCTAGAAATCAACTATAAGAAAAAAAACTGCAAAAGACACAAACACATGGAGGCTAAACAGTATGCTACTAAACAACCAATGGATCACTGAAGAAATCAAAGAGGAAATTAAAAAAGTACCTGGAGACAAATGAAAATGAAAACACAATGATTCAATATCTGTAGGATCCAGCAAAAGCAGTTCTAAGAGGGACATTTATAGCAATGCAAGCTTACCTCAGGAAACGAGAAAAATCTCAACCTAACATTACACCTAAAGGAGCCAGAAGAAGAACAAGCAAAACCCAAAGTTAGTAGAAGGAAAGAAATCATAAAGATCAGAGCAGAAATAAATGAAACTGAGACTAAGAAAACAATAGAAAGGATCAATGAAACTAAGAGCTAGTTCTTTGATAAGATAAACAAAACTGATAAACCTTTAGCCAGACTCATCAAGAAAGAAAAGAGAGGTCTCAAATCAATAAAATCAGAAATGAAAAAGGAGAAGTTACAACAGATACCACTGACATACAAAGGATCATAATAGACTGCTATGAACAATTATATGCCAATAAAATGGACAACCTAGGAGAAATGGACAAATTCCTAGAAATGTACAATCTCACAAGACTGAACCAGGAAGAAATAGAAAACATGAACAGAACAACTACCAATAATGAAATTGAGTCAGTAATTTTAAAACTTCCAACAAACAAAAGTCTATGACCAGATGGCTTCACAGGTGAATTCTACCAAACATTTAAAGAAGAGTTAACACCTGTCCTTCATAAACTATTCCAAAAAATTGCAGAGCAAGGAACACTTCCAAACTCATTCTACAGGTCAGCATCACCCTGACACCAAAACCAGACAAAGATATCACAAATAAAATTACAGGCCAGTATCACTAATGAACATAGATTCAGAAATCCTCAACAAAATATTAACAAACTGAATTCAACAATACATGAAAAGGATCATACACCATGATCAGGTGGGATTTATTCCAGAGATGCAAGGATGGTTCAGTATCTGGAAATCAATGTGATATACCACAGTAACAAATTGAAGAATAAAAACCATATGATCATCTAAATAGATGCAGAAAAAGCTTGACAGAATTCAACATCCATTTATGATAAAACCTCTGAACAAAGGGGGAACATACCCCCAAATAATAAAGGCTGTATATGACAAGCCCACAGTTAACATCATACTCAGTGGTGAAAAGCTAAAACCCTCTAAGATCAGCAACAAGACAAGGGTGCCCACTCTTGCCACTTTTATTCAACATAGTATTGGAAGTCCTAACCACAGTAATCAGACATGAAAAAGAAAGAAAAGGAATCCAAATTCGAAAGTAAAACTGTCACTCTTTGTAGATGATGTGATACTATATATAGCAAATCCTAAAGATACTGCCAAAAAAAACTGTTAGAAATAGTAAATTCAGTAAAATTGCAGGATACAAAATTAATATATAGAAATCTGTTGCATTTCTATACACTAACAACAAACTATCAGAAAGAGAAATTAAAAAACAATCCCCCTTACCATCACATCAAAAAGAATAAAATGCTTAGGAATACATCTAACTAGGGAGGTAAAAGACCTGTACTCTGAAAACTATAAGACCCTGATGAAAGATATTGAAGAAGACACGGATGAAAAGATATACTGTGCTCATGGATTTGAAGAATTTATATTGTTGAAAATGACCATACTACCCAAGGCAATCTACAGATTCAGTGCAATACCTATCAAAATACCAATGACATTTTTTACAGAACTATAACAATTCTAAAGTTTGTATGGTGATGCAAAAGTTGCAGAATAGCCAAAACAATCTTGAGAAAGAAGAACAAAGCTTGAGGTATTACACGCCCAGATTTCAAACTATACTACAAAGCTACAATAGTCAAAACAGCATGGTACAGTCACAAAAACACACATAGATCCATGGAACAGAACAGAGAGGCCAGAAATGAACCCATGCTTATATGGTCAATTAATCTACGATAAAGGAGGTAAGAATATAGTGGGGAAAAAGCTGTCTTTTTCCCTCTTCACCAAATGGTGTGGGAAATCTGGACAGCTACAGCAAAAGAATCAAACTGGACTACTTTCTTACACCATGCACAAAAATAAATTCAAAATGGATTAAAGACTTAAATATAAAACCTGAAACCGTGAAACTTCTAGAAGAAAGCATAGGCAGTATGCTCTTTGACATTGGTACTAATAATATTTTTTTGGATATGTCTCAGGCAAGGGAAACAAAACCAAAAATAAACAAATGGGACTTTATCAAATTGAAAAGCTTTTGCACAGTGAAGGAAACTACCAACAAAATGAAAAGGCTGCCTACTGAATGGGAGAAGATATTTGCAAACAGTATATCCGATAAGGGCTTAATATCTACAATGTGCAAAGAACTGATAGAACTTCAACATATAAAAAACAAACCAACTATAAAGTGGGCAGAGGAGCTGGATAGCTGTCTTTCCAAAGAAGACATACAGATGGCCAACAGGCACATGAAAAGATGCTCAACATCACTAATTGTCAGGGAAATGCAAATCAAAACCACAATGAGATATTACCTCACACGTGTCAGAATGGCTATTTTCAAAAAAGGCAACAAATAACAAGTGTTGGTGAGGATGTGGAGAAAAGGGAACCCTCCTGCACTGTTGATGGGATTGTAAATTGGTGCAGCCACTATGGAAAACAATATGGAGATTACTCCAAACGTTAAAAATAGAACTATTGTATTATCCAGCAATTCCACTCCTGGGTATTTATCCAAAGAAAACAAAAACAGTAATTAGAAAAGGTACATACACCCCCATGTTCATCGCAGCATTATTTACAACAGCCAAGATATAGAAGCAACCTAAATGCCCATCAAGAGATAAATGGATAAAGAAGATGTGGCATACACACACACACAGACACACAGACAGACACACACAGGAATGTTACTCAGCCATATAAAAGAACGAAATCTTGTCATTTGCAACAACATGGATGGATCTAGAGGCTATAATGCTAAGTGAAATAAGTCAGAGAAAGACAAACACTATGATTTCACTTATATGTGGAATCTAAAAAACAAAACAAATGAACAAACTTAACCAAACGTTAACAGAGTTATAGATACAGAGAACAAATAGGTTGCCTGAGGGGAGAATGTTGGGGGTAGGAAAGAATAGGTGAAGGAGATTAAGAGTTACAGACTTCCAGCTGCAGTATAAATGGGTCACAGGTATGAAATGTGCTGTGTTGGGAATATAGTCATAACTATGTAATATCTTTGAATTTTGACATATCATAGCTAAACTTATTGTTGTGATCATTTTGAAATGTGTAGAAATATCAAATCACTATGTTGTGTAACAGGAAATAACATAGTGTTATAGGTCAATCATACTTTAAAAACAAACTCATAGAAAGATAGATCAGAGAGGCGGAGTTGTGAGGAGGGGAATTGGATGAAGGCAGTCAAAAAGTACAGACTTCCAGTTATGAGATAAATAAATACTGGGGATATAGTGGACAACATGATAAATATAATTAATAATGCTTTATGTTATGTATGAAAATTGTTAAGAGAGTAAATCCTAAGAGTTCTCATCACAAGGGGGGAAAAAGGTAAATAGGGTTAGCTGGCAGCAAAACTTTCAATTTGGCTGGTTTGTCTTTAGCTCCAGATGTGTGTGTGAACCTCTAAACAAATCTGTGCCAGGATCCTTGACTATAAATGGAGATAATAAAAATGGCATCTTCGTCATAGAGTTTTTGCATGGATTAAATAATATCCCTTATTTGAAGCACTTAACACAGTGAAGTGACTGGAATATTGTGTATTAAGCAGTCCACAATTGTTTGCTATAGATAATAATTTCAAAATATATATACTATCTTCAGTGTCTTACATTTCTAGATCCTGTAAGAAGCCAATGAAAATAGGATGCATACTCTGATCCCAACAGATAACAAGAACAGATGCTCAGAAGCTGGGCCAGTCCCTACCTCATCATACCCAAGAAATGGGGAAAAATTTAAGAGTACCCTTTCCCTGTCCTGTTCCCCCTGCCCCCACTACAGTCTTTTCTCCTTTCTTCCTTGTCTGAGCACAGATTATATAACACCCTACTTCTGCCCCAGGAGTCTCAGATGTATATTTGATGTAATACGTTTAGCTTTATTTCATTTAAAATAAGGTGATCTTTTTATACTATAACAATTATATTTCATATGGTAGCAAGTTTTATGCTTGCCTATATTTTTGGTAACAATTTTTGAATGAAGTGACATCTATCTTTTGTGCCAAAGATAAAGACAGTTTTATAGCATTCTTCAGTGTCATTCCTCTTCTTTTTGTTTTTGTATTGTAAATAATGTCTGGGTATCATGAGTTAAATCATATTCTTTTATAGAAGCATCACTCCGAGAATAAGGGCCTAGATAAAGTGATGGAGACTCAGGCCCAAGTGGATGAACTTAAAGGAATCATGGTCAGAAACATAGGTATGTTTCATGGCATACTCCGCATGCATGAGGGCAAAAATGATAATAGATTACTTGATTGGGGTCAAATCATTCTAGAGAGGCTGAAATAGCACTTCCTTATTCTTAATATTGGAAGCTAATTGTCAGCTGAGATATGGATATTACTTAACGTATGATACTGCCTACCGTATGATGGTTTCTTTTTAGCACTTATGACTATTCATTCTAAATTTGTTAGCTTGCTTAGCAAGACTAATTTCCAAGACCCTTAAACAGTTCAGCAACTTAGAATAATTTAGTCAGTTTTGGCTGGAAATACCCAGTTAGTTGATATCATCAGTATAGACACTTAAAGTATAACTATTTGCCCTCCTTAGAAAGTTTGTAGCTCTTGACTGAGAAAGAATTGGACCAAAAAACTGTTGTATTCTTCAAGAGAATGAACTATGGCATGAATTCCATTGGCCTGTGTTTTGTCAAGAACCTATTTACCACATTAAAGTAATCCAGAGAAATGCACTGTTTGTTTTTTAATTGATTATAACAGTGGTATTTAGATTTAGGATGATGTTAATTTTTTAATAGCACCAGTTCTCACAATATAGTCCCTGGGCCAGCAGCATCAGCATCCCCTGGGAACCTGTTACAAATGCAAATTTTCAGGCCCCACCCCAAGCCTACTGAATCAGAAACTCTTGGAGTGGGAAATCTGTGTTTTCACAAGCCCTCCAGAGGATTCCAGTGCACACTCAAGTTATAGAACCACTCTTAAATATATCTTCTAAGAGGAATGTCTTGCAGAGAATAAATTCTTAATATAAAATTGAACAAAAATTAGTATATAAATGCTTTACAAGATATTTAACTGAGACGTCATTTCATAAATGTCCATTTAGTTATAATTTTGAATTTACTATTTGAATTTTACATTTATTATTAGAACTCTTAAAAGTTATGAAAAGACATTTTAAAAAATTTACTTTGTCTCACCATCCTAAAGTTTTATTTACATTTTCTTTCCTTTAAATTTTTACTTACATGTATACATAGTTAATCATAGTTTATATTCAGTTTTGTGGAGGCAGTATAATAGAGTAATCAAGATTTGGAGTCATACATGCCTGAGTTTGAGTCCTGATTTCACTTCCTACCTGCTGTTAAGCCTTGATCAGTCCTCTAACCTCTCTGACCTTTACTCCTTAATCTGCAAAAAGGAGGCAATAGAGCCTGAGGTTACCAGGATAAAAGAGGTAATGTATGTAAAACACTGTGTACAGTCCCTGGCACATAGTAAGAGCTGAATGATTGTTAGCTGTTAGTCTACTTTATGCTCATACAGTATTTCTTTGAGTTATATCACAGGTTACCAATTATGTCCTTATGTTGGACACTTTGGGTCTTTAGAGCATTATTACTCAGAGTGCTGTTTTACAACCAGCAGGGAGCTTGCTCCAGAATAGAAGTCAATGCTGTGCTTCCTTCATTGAGAACATCTTGCTATGAAAATGTCAATTTGACTGAACAGTATACTTGGAAACTTAGTTGAGCAGTAGCAAACACTCTTAGGTAGCACTGATTTAGAGTTTGTGTTATAGTAACAGTACTGTTATAAATGTTTCTGTGCCTATTATATTATTCTTATTTTGTTGAGATTAGTTCCCAGGAATGGGATTAATAATCAAAAGGCAGAAACATTTTTATATTTCTTTTTTTTTGTGTGTGTGGTACGCGGGCCTCTCACTGTTGTGGTCTCTCCCGTTGTGGAGCACAGGCTCCGGACGCACAGGCTCAGTGGCCATGGCTCACGGGCCTAGCTGCTCTGTGGCAAGTGGGATCTTCCCGGACCGGGGCACGAACCCATGTCCCCTGCATCGGCAGGTGGACTCTCAAGCACTGCACCACCAGGGAAGCCCTATCTTAATATGTATGTCTCTGGGTTATTTGAAGTGATTTCCTTTCATTGATTTTAGTTTTAAATATAGGTCTAGATGCAGACTAGAGAACTCTTAAATATATCTTTCAATATACCTATTGAAAAACTACTAATATTTTTCTCTTTTTTTGGTCACCAAATATATTTATTTGGCCTAAAAGTGGAAGCAGCCAACTGCTACAATAGTATTTATTGCAGATGCATAATGTTTCCAGAAAATGAACCTTTTTAATCAACTCCTCTTAAATGACATTTATGTTTAGAATTACAGAAATAGCAAATTAAAAATGTAGCAAAAACCTTTTTAATCATCTCCCTTTGATTTTTTAACAGCTTTATTGACATATAATTCACATACCATACAGTTTACCCATTTAAAGTACACAATCCAATGGTTTTTACTATGTCCACAGAGTTGTGTGACTATCACCACAATCAATTTTAGAACATTTTCACTACCCCCCAAAGAAATTCTTTACCCATTTACAGTCACTCCTCTTTTCCCCTCAACCTGCAGACCTAAGCAACAATTAATCTCCTTTCTGTCTGTATAGATTTGCTTGTTCTAGACATTTCATATAAATGGAGTTATATAAAATGTGGCCTTAGCAATTTTGAAGTATATAATACAGTATTGTTGACTACAATTAGTGTGCTGTACACTAGATGTTCAGAACTTACTAATCTTCTAGTTGCAAGTCTGTATCCTTTTACAACATCTCCCCAATTCCTGTACCCCCCAGCCCCTGGTAACCACCATTCTACTCTGGTTCTATAAGGGTCACATTTTTAGATTCCACATATGAGTAATATCATACAATATTTGTCTTTCTTTGACTAGCTTATCTCACTAAGCATGGTGCCCTCAAGATCCATCCCTGTTGTTTCAAATGGCAGGATTTTCATTTTTCTCATGGCTCAATAATATTCCATTATATATGTACACTACATCTTCTTTATCCATGCATCCATTGACAGACACTTAGCTTGTTTCCATATCTTGGCTGTTGTGAAATAATGCTGCAATAAACATGGGAGTACAGATATCCTTTCAATATCCTGCTTTCATTTCCTTCAGATAGAAACTCAGAAATGGAATTGCTAGATATATATGGTAGTTGTATTTTTAATTTTTTTAAGGAAACTCCATACTGTTTTTCATAGTGATTGAACCAATTTACATTCCCACCAGCAGTGCATAAGGGTTCCCTTTTCTCCATATGCTCACCAACACTTATCTCTTTCTTCTTGATGATAGCCATTCTAACTGGTATGAGGTTGATATTTCATTGTGGTTTTTATTTGCATGTTCCTGATGACTTGTGATGTTGAGCATCTTTTAATGCACCTGTTGGCCATTTGTATATCTTCTTTGGAAAAATTCTATTCAGTTCCTCTGCCCATTTTTTAATCCAATTGTTTGTTTTTTTGTTACTGAGTTGTATTAATTCTTTATATATTTTGGATGATAACCCCTTATCCAATATATGGTTTGTAAATATTTTCTCCCTTTCTATAAGTTGCCTTTTCATTTTGTTGATTGTTTCTTTTCATGTCCAGAATCTCTGTAGTTTGATGTAGTCCAACTTGTTGATTTTGCTTTTATTGCTTGTGCTTTTGGTATGCTAAGTATCATTGCAAAGACCAATGTCAAGAACTTTCTTCCCTATATTTTCTTCTAGGTGTTTTATTGGTTTCAGGTCTTACATTTAAGTCTTTAATCCATTTCAAGTTAATTTTTTGAGTGATGTATATAGGGGTCCAATTTCAATTTTCTGCATGTGGCTATCCATGTGGTTTTCCCAACACCATTTGCTGAAGAGACCATCCTTTCCCCATTGAGTGTTCTTGACTCCCTTGTCAAATCTTAGTTGACTCTATATGTGGGGGTTTATTTCTGGTCTCTCTGTTTTGTTCCAATGGTCCATGTATCTATTTTTGCCAGCAATACTGTTTTAATTACTATAGCTTTATAGTATAGTTTGAAATCAGGAAGTGTAATGCCTCTGGCCTTGTTCTTCTTTCTCAGGATTACTATGGCTATTTGGGATCTTTTGTGGTTTCATATATATTTTAGGATTGGTTTTTCTATTTCCGTCAAAAATGCCATTGGAATTTTGATAGAGATTGCATTGAATCTGTAGATGACTTTGGGTACTATGAATATTTTAACAATATTAATTTTTCTGATCCATGAACATGGGATGTATTTCCATTTGTTTGTAATTTCTTTCATCAAAGTCTTGTAGCTTTTATCACACAGATCTTCACTTCCTTGGTTAAGTTTATTCCTAAATATTTTATTATTTTTTATGGTATTCTGATTGGGATAGTTTTATTACTTTTGTTATATTTTGTTATTATATAGAAACAACTGATTTCTGTATGTTGATTTTATATCCTGCAACTTGATTGAATTATTGATTAGTTTAACAGTTTTTTTGCTTGAATCTTTTAAGATTTTCTATGTATAATATCATATCATCTTAAATAATGGCAATTTTACTTCTTCCTTTCCAATTTGGATGCCTTTTATTTCTTTGTCTTGTCTGATTGCTCTAGCTAGGATTTCTAGTATTTTATGAATAATAGTGATGAGAGTGGGCACCCTTGTCTTGTTCCTGATCTTAGAGGAAAAGCTTTCAATCTTTCATCATTGAGTATGATGTTAAGCTATGGGTGTGACATAATGGCCTTTATTATGTTGAAGTAAACCCCTTCAATGTTCAATTTGTTGAGAGTTTTTGTCATGAAATTATGCTGAATTTTGTCAAATGTCTTTTCCCCATTTATTGAGATGATCATAAATATTTATCTTTCATTCTATTAATGTGGTATGTCACATGTATTGATTTGTGTATATCAAACTATCCTTGCATCCCAGGGATAAATCCCACCTAGTTGATTGTTTTGATGTGTTGTTGAATTCAATTTGCTAATATTTTTTTGAGAATTTTTGCACCTATATTCATCAGGAATATTGGTCTAGTTTTGTTTTCTCATAGTGTCCTTATCTGGCTTTGGTATCAGGGTAATGCTGGCCTTGTAAAATGCGTTTGGAAGTGTTTCCTCCTCTTCAGTTTTT